TATTACAAATGGCAAGATTTCATTCTTTTTCATCACAGAGTAGTATTCCTGTGTGTGTGTGTGTGTGTGTGTGTGTACCACATCTTCTTAATCCATTCATCAGTTGATGGATATTTGGGCTCTTTCCACAATTTGGCTATTGTTGATAGTGCTGCTACAAACATTGGGGTGTGTATGCCCCTTCAAGTCAGCATTCAAATCATCATTGTTATATCCTTTGGATAAATTCCTAGTAATGTAATTGCTGGGTCATAGGATAGTTCTATTTTTAATTTTTTGAGGAACCTCCATACAGTTTTCCAGAGTGGCTACACCAGCTTGCATTCCCACCAACACTGCAAAAAGGTTCCCCTTTCTCCACATCCTCGCCAACATCTGTTGTGGCCTGAGTTGTTAATGTTAGCCATTCTGACAGGTGTGAGGTGGTATCTCATTGTGGTTTTGATTTGTATTTCCCTGATGATGAGTGATGTTGAGCATCTTTTCATGTGTCTGTTTGCCAGCTGGATATTTTCTTTAAAAAATGTCATGTCTTCTGCCCATTTCTTCACTGGATTATTTGTTTTTTGGGGTGTTGAGTTTGATTTAAGTTCTTTATAGATTTTGGATACCAACCCTTTATCTGATATGCCGTTTGCAAATATCTTCTTCCATTCTGTCGGTTGCCTTTTAGTTTTGTTGATTGTTTCCTATGCTGTGCAGAAGCTTTTTGTCTTGATGAGGTCCCAATAGTTCAGTTTTGCTTTTGTTTCCCTTGCCTCCGGAGACATGTCAAGTAAGAAGTTGCTGCAGCTGAGGTCAAAAGTTGCTGCCTGTTTTCTCCTGTAGGATTTTGATGGTTTCCTGTCTCACATTTACATCTTTCATCCATCTTTAATTTCTTTTTGTGTATGGTGTAAGAAAGTGGTCCAGTTTCATTCTTCTGCATGTTGCTGTCCAGTTCTCCCAGCACCATTTGCTAAAGTGACTATCTTTTTTTCCATTGGATACTCTTTCCTGCTTTGTCGAAGATAAGTCGGCCATATATTTATGGGTCCATTTCTGGGTTCTCTATTCTATTCCATTGATCTATGTGCCTGTTTTTGTGCCAATACCATACTGTCTTGATGATTACAGCTTTGTAGTACAGGCTAAAGTCTGGGATTGTGATGCCTCCAGCTTTGGTTTTCTTTTTCTTTTTTAATGTTTATTTTTGAGAGAGAGAGACAGAGCATGAGTGGGGGAGGAGCTGAGAGAGAGGGAGACACAGAATCTGAAGCAGTCTCCAGGCTCTGAGCTGTCAGCACAGAACCCAACATGGGGCTCAAACTCATGGAGTGTGTGAGATCATGACCTAAGCTGAAGTCGGACGCTTAACCAACTGAGCTACCCAGATGCCCCATTGGTTTTCTTTTTCAACATTACTTTGGTTACCCAGGGGCTTTTGTGGTTTCATACAAATTTTAGGATTGTTTATTCTAGCTTTGAGAAGAATGCTGGTGTTACTTTGATAGTGTTTGCATTGAATGTGTAGATTGCTTTGGGTATTATCAACATTTTGACAATATTTGTTCTTCCAATCCATGAGCATGGAATGTTTTCCCATTTCTTTGTGGCTTCTTCAATTTCTTTCATAAGCTCTCTATAGTTTTCAGCATACAGATCTTTTATGTCTTTGGTTAGGTTTATTCCTAGGTATTTTATGGGTTTGGGTGCAATTATAAATAGGATTGATCCCTTGTTTTCTTTTTCTGCTGACTCATTATCAGTGTATAGAAATACACCCAATGCCTGTATATTGATTTTATATCCTGTGACTTTGCTGAATTCGTTTATCAGCTCGAGCGGTTTTTTGGTGGAGTCTGTTGGGTTTTCCATGTAGAGTATCATGTCATCTGCGAGGAGTGAAAGTTTGACTACTTCTTTGCCAATTTGGATGCCTTTCATTTCATTTGCTTGTCTGCTGAGGCTAAGACTTCCAACACTATGTAGACAATTGTGGTGAGAGTGGACATCCCTGTCGTGTTCCTGACCTTAGGGGAAAATTCTTCATTTTTCCCCATTGAGGATGATACTAGCTGTGGGCCTTTCATATATGGCTTCCACATAAAATGGTTCTTGAAGAATACACTAAGTTTGGTTGTCTCTAGGGAAAGAAACTAAATGTCTGGGGGCAGGGGATGAAGGGATATTTTACACTGTACCTTTTGTACCCTTTGTATCCATTGGACTATGTGAACATATCACTTACTCAAAACATAAATAAAATGTGGAATAAACCCTACATGCTGGGCACCCTACATGAGTGTGAATGGAATCATGAAGAAAGTGGGGTCCCTCAGTCACTTAGGTGACTAGATGCCCAGGGCTGTCCCAGAGCAGGCAAGTAAGTACCCAAGGTGTCTGTGGTGGGCCAGGCAGAGTGGACGTGAGTTTGGGAGCCCCCGTGATAGCCATATAGTTGCCCCAAGGATAATAAGCAGCACATCCCAAATTGGGTTTTTAGGTCGGTCTCAACGCTGACCTACACTTGGAGCAGCACATGAGTCATCAGTCCTACCCTGCTCAAGTACATTCTGGCTTCAAGGACCATTAGATAGAAGTTACAGGGATATAGATTTCACTTCAATATAAGAACAACATTCCAAAATCAGAACAACCTGGGAGGTAGTTAGTTCACTGCCTGTGGGCATGTTTAAACACTGCAATGGTCACACTGCAGGAATGCCACAGGAGAGATTCAGCATCCCCGGCTGATGGCACCATGTACATCTACATAACTAATGTACATAACCTTTCTAGTTGCTCTGCATGTATATGGAGACTGAGCAGACAGGTGATAAGTGTCCCCTTTCTCTTTTGCTAAGTGATGAGGAAGTCAGACGAGACAGATGTTAGCATTTGCACAGAACTCATCAGGTGTCACTTGCTGATGAGAAGTTTGTAGGAATATCCATATCTTTCTAAATAGTGGGAGCAATTATCTTACTGATGGCACAGGATGGGATTTTTGCTACTTTTGCCTAGACCCAGCACCTGCCAGAGGAAAATGATATTCTAGTATAGCAATTCTGTGTTTAATTAAAGAGAATATGAAATAAAGGGAAGGAAGAATTCTGAGAAATATGTACCTCCCCAAAAGTTTGGAGTTTTTTGTTTTGTTTTGTTTTGTTTGTATTCACCACAAAGGAAGCAAGAGGGAGAACAAAGAGCTAGATAAAGGAAAGAAATGTCTGTTTGGGGCTAAGCCAAATAAACTTAAATGGTTTAAGGAATAAATTGGTGGAGTAATTCGAATCATGGGCAGGTGCTATGAATGTAATTTAGTAAATGCTCGGGAACCTGCCAAGGAAGAGAAAAATGTGTTGCTTTTGAGATCATTTCCCAGCAGCTTCATAAAAGAAAACTGATTACAGGAATTTAATAAGTAAAACAGAGCCAGAAATATAGTAATCAAATGAGTTTTTAATTACATTTCAGGCAGAAAAAAATTCCAATTTGTGCTCCTGGGATTAAAAAAAAAATAAGTTCTAGAGAAAAGCTTTTGTAGCAGGAAAATAATATAAACACTAATTTCCATAGGAATTATAGTAGTCAGTTTAATTAAAAGGCTCGATCAGAGTGACGAGGAGCCAGTGCCAAACTATACTAAATAAAACCATGGCATTCGTTGCTACCCTACACTATCATCCAAATAAAAACACTGTGCAATGAATAGAAAACAGTCACCTGCATTTTTCTCAATAAAGAGGATTTTGATCACTACCTGAATTTTATTTTCATATATGAAATATTTTCATATTTCACTAATACATCTGATTTGAAATTAAATGTTGGTTGGTGAGATAAATGTCACTCTTGAGGAATATGCTCTAAGAGACATCAGTGTGAAGGGTCACCACTTCGGCCAGGTTGGAGGGCTCACAGCTCAGTAGCGTCCCTGGTCACCTCTAGTGACGCCCTCAACATGAAGGGCTGTTCTTTGTTGGGAGGCTTTGCTATCAACCACCCCCTAACCACAGGCCCTGCTTGGAGAAGATTGTTCAGGAGGTGTGCTGACATTGCAGTGGATTTGTTCCCCTTGGGATGAATGCGCCACACCTGCAAGTGTTTACAAGGACCAAGTGTTTATGATCTGTGGCCACAGAACACAGACCCAAGGCACTAAGTGGGAGCATTCCCTTTCCATGGGCTAATACCGGCACAACTCCATGACCCTTGCTTTATTCATTGCTCTGTTCCACGACAGCGGTTGGAAAATTATACTATTAGGGAGTAGGGGACGCTTTTTCAAAGACAACAAAATTAAGTAAAAAAGAAAACATTTAGGAGAGTCTCCTGCAAATAAGCCCCTGGATTCTTGGCCTCTGGCCTCTGCCTGTGTGTCCCCCTCCATCCCCTCGCTGCAGCCCAACCCCTCTCTTCCCCACTCCTTTTTCTCTTGTCTCGCGTCCATCTTCATACATGTTCACATGCCAGTCTGTTCATTTAGCACAGCTCCCAGATCCTTAGCTTGAAAAATGAGCACCTTCTCTTCTCTTGGGATGTTATCTGGCCTTTCTTATTCAGATGAGTCCACCCAGAACCCTCCCCTCCTCCGTGGTGGAGCCAATGGTAGGTGTAGCTTAGTAAAGCTTTAAGTTCATGGTCTGTTGAGATCTGGAGTGTCCAGAGCAGGCAACAATATACATAAGTAGGCATGTGTGAGCCGAGTATTTTGTGTCCTGTCTTGTCTGGATATAGATTTAGAACAGGATCATAATCTAATGGGCTAGCACCCTGGGAGTAGTACACAGCCACCCTGTCTTATTTTTTTCATTTTCTGCACAGGCTCTATTAATGCAGCACGATGGTGTTACATGCGTTTACTTCTTGCCAATAGCTCGGGTTTACCAAAATAATCATCACATTTCATTTCTTGCAGCCAGTGTCCGTTCTCCTCACAAGGGAAAGCTAGAAAACCATGTCAGTGACTCGGGTTCCTCTCTCCTCCACCTTTTTTTTTTTTTGTTTTATTTCAGGCGTTGGTGAAGGTCAACGTGAAACTGAAGCCCATGCTGGACTCGGTGGCAGCGAACAGAAGTAAGTGGGAAGAGCTGCACCAGAAAAGGCTGCTGGTGCCAGCCGCCTCACCCTCGTCTGCCAGCCTCGTGGCCGCTGGGGAAGACAGGAACTAACCCTCCAGCTTAGCTGCCGCTGCAAAATGACTGCATCCTGAAGGGCCAGCTTCGGGCCAGCCCACGTCATCCTTTTGTTCCTTTAAGCTCTGGCAGAGTCTCTTGGTTTGCACCGGGAAGCACGGCCTGGGCTTCCACCTTTAAGTGTGGTCCGCGGAGGAGAGTGCGACGGGAAGGACAGAGGAGGTGGGGAGGGAGCCCGGCCCAGGGCGCTCAGCTTCCCCTGACAAGCGCACGAGCACACGTGGGAGAGGTGCTGGGCAGAGGACCCCACACCAGAGGACACCCGGCCCTGCTCATGCCGAGCCCAGTGGCCGACGGAGCCCAGAGCAGGGAACGCGCCATTAGCGCTGCTTCACTTTGTATCCAGCTCTTCTATTTGTTACAAGCCAAGCAATGCCTGCCTTTGCATCCTCTCCTGAGTGCCCTTTTGTGCCACACTGTTCCAAGAAGCGCAGTTTGTATCCTGTAGAGGTATTTTATTTTTATCCTAAAGCTTCTTAATGATGGATTAGAGCCTTTAGAATTGCCTACCTAAAAAATAAACCATAGCATCCTTACCAATACTGGTCAGTCCTAGTTTTCCCCTAAAAAGGCCCATAGTAGGAAGATAACAAATGCATTTGTTTGTGTGACTGGTATTTATACAAGATTCGTAACACTGCATTGGGATTGCGGCCCCCTTTTCCACTTTTTAAAAATTCACCCTTTGTTGTAGACCAAGTCTTCTCCCAGAAGGAATGGATTAATAGGCTTTAATTAAAGGAGGGATGAAAGGAAGTCCACAGCTGGATTCACCACAAGTGACCCATGAACACTTAGGAACTATTTCCAACCGCGAAGACATTTTACAGGCCACAGCAGAGCCGCGGAGAATAATCACAGACTACCTTGAGTTTTCTTAGGGATTGGTTTTTATACACCATCGAAAGCTCCTACTGATACCAACCTAAAGCCAAACGTGGTGGTTGCCAAATTTTTTATTTTTCCTTAAGTATAAGAAAGAAATAACAGTCTGGCCAGGGGACAAATACGCTCTAGGAGGCTAGGTTTATAATAATAAACTATATTAAATCGATGCAATGACTAGAAAACTGCTTTGCTCCCCATTTGACCTGAGAGATTGAGGACATGGTTTGACTTGTCCAAAGAATGCTGGACTAGAAGCTAGACCTACGACTCTGGCTTTGGCACCAGTCATTGGGTGACTTTGGACAAAACACCTAACTTGTCCCAGCCCGTTTCCTCATTTGCTGAATGAGATTACATTAGAAGTGATTTGCAAACATGTTTAACCTTAGAACTCTTTGTTCAAAAAAATCTTACAAGGAATCTCCGAGATATAAAACATCTAAGAGCTGAAATTCTCTGTTTGAAGCCAGGTTGGGAGACCCAGAACCTGCAAATTCTCCTCTTTGGTTACAGACATGGTGGTCCGTAAAGGAGCTCCAAGGAGTTGGACATCCCTGGACTAGATGAACGGTGAAGTCCATTCCAGCTCTGAAAAATCTAAAGTTCACAAATCATTTTTGTTCTTATGGTTACTAGTCAGTATCAGTTATTAACTTGACTACTCAAATATTAAGGAAATAGGGGCCAAGTTACACAAGGAGTATTGCTTCCCTGGCACATAGTAGACATTCCAAAAATGTTTTAAGAATGGGTAAATGAAAGGGGCGCCTGGGTGGCTCAGTCGGTTGAGCATCCAACTTCGGCTCAGGACACAATCTCACGGTTTGTGGGTTCGAGCCTCACGTTGGGCTCTGTGCTGACAGCTCAGAGCCTGGAGCCCGCTTCGGATTCTGTGTCTCCCCTCTCTCTGTGCCCCTCTCTGTCTCTCAAAAGTGAATAAAGGTTTTTAAAAAATTAAAAAAAAAAAAAAAAAAGAATGGGCAAAGGAAGGTTCCAAAACCAAAGAGAGGGAAGAACAGGTATCTATCTGTAGGGAAGACATAAGATTTCATGCGGCAAGAAACAAAGTCAAAGAAAATTATAAACCAGGCAAAGAGTGGGGGAAAAAGAGGAAGATGAGGATGAGAAGCAAAAGACACCCAAAAAAGAAAAGACAGAGACTGAGGCAGATGGTAAGAGAACTGCCAAAGGCCAGGTAAACATCAATCCAAACAAAGAAAAATGGTGCTTCTAACCCCAAAAAGGAGGATACAGAATCCTGTCATCAATTGCTTAGAAAAGAGAGTTATTTGAGCAGGGAGGGGTTTGACAAAAGAGAGGAGGGAGTGGGAACCTAAAAATTCATGTTCCTGGCCACCATTTACAGCTGTCTCTGCAGCGAAGACTGGAGAATCTAGAGGAAAAAAACGAGTGTAGGAAAAAGTGCCTTCACAGAGCAGGTAAGAGGAGGCTGCTCAGATTTATGGATTTTATTAAGCCAGTTTTCTGAATCGCTCTGCTCTAAAGGAAAATAGCTTCTGCCCGGCTGTCTCCCCTCCTTCAGGTGAGGAACAAAGAGGGGGTGGAGTTGGGGACAGACCTGGGTCATGTGTCTGCAGCTCAGAAGCACTGCAGGTGTTTCCAGCTATTATGGCACACCATGTTTATATCACAAACGGGAATTGAAAATCAGCCCATGTGAGGCAGAGATGAACCCACATCTGTTATCCTCCCCAACAATAAATAAATAAATAAATAGCCCAGACAGACGGATGCCAGTCTATCTAGAGCAAAATTTTAAAGCATGTGCTTTATGATAAAACTAGACCCAGGGTCCGATGGAGACTGCAGGCAGCTATGAGCACCCGAGCCGCCCTGAACGTTGATGCTACACATTGCTAAGGGGAACATAATTTATAGCACAAACCCTACGGCTTCCACTAAGGTTGAGCTTTCGTCTCATTCTCTTGCCTTTTTATTGGCTTCACTGCACGGTTGCCAATAGCAACATCCACTGGTAGCAAGGGGAGTTCAACACCATTGCAATCTGCCATACACTGGAGCCCTGACAATGTCAACCATCAATCAAGTAGCTGTTTGTAATTGCCTCCATCTATTTTTCCTGTCTTAAGGTATCTTTCCTATTGTGGGTCAAAATTCAGAAACTGCTGACTAATGCCATGGGTCCATTCCTCGGAGACCATGAAGCAGTGGAAAAGGACAGCAGCACCCTCCCTGTGCAACCCCAGGGGTGAGAGGCTGAACACTTGGGTGTTTGAGATATTTTCAAGCCCTTTTCTAAATAAGGCATGATTTTCCAAGACTGAGAGGTATGTGTGATTATCTATATATTTTGCTTTCCTACAATAAAGAGACATTTTCTCAGTCTTTATCATTAATGGTTGTTTCCTACTGGAGGAAGGGATTTGAAATGTGAGCCTTCTTATAAAACCTTCAGCTGACCAGACTATGTTTGCTTCCTTGGGGCTCCTGGCATTAATGGCTGAAAGGACTTCATCCTACCTTCTCCACATGATATGTTTTTCCAGACATGTTATTTATTTTCTTAGTAGTCGATATGTAGACAACACATGCACAACCCACAATGTAGCTTATGATACTGGCCAGGAGAGAACACGTGCAAACTACAAAGGTCACCACAGGATGCACAGTAGACGGGCCCTGGCCCCCGACTTGGCCACCAGTTTGACCTGTTCTCTTGGGACCCTCCAGGTCTTGGGTTTTGCACCTGTAAAATAAAAGCACTGGCTTTATTCGGTTCACTTCTACAACAGAGGACCAACCTGTATTTAATTTTTAAAATATTTTCCACATAATTGTCTTACTTACTCTTCTCAAACACAATAGGAACAAACCTAAAGAGGTCATCTTCTCTCCAAAGACAAAATAAAAAGTTACATATATGAGGTAGATATAAAACGCCCCTACCACATATATGTCTGAGCCTGCCTCTAGTGATCATGAAAGATATGGTTGTCAGTACAGCTTTTTAAAAATGTACCTTTTACTTCATAAGGGACAACTTTAGATTATCTCATAGCTAGATATCCCATAAATGGCAGTTGGTTTAATTTAGAAGTCAATTTATAAAGTGAATCAAGTGAAATTAAAATTGCATGTGTTTTTTATTTCTAAAATCTGAGATGTCTATACATTTCCAGGTATTTTATATTTGCATACACGTTGGGTTGGGTTAGAAATAATCTTTAAATTTTTGTTAGGGCAATAGCATATCATCTAATATTAATGCTACAGGAATTCAGTTGCTTTTTTCATGTATCAAAATTTATCATACTTTATCCACTTACCTTAGGTCATTAAACAGAGTCTGCTCAATTTGCTTTGCAGTACAATTATTTTAAAATCCATTTCTCCTGCTGACTCTTAATGAATTGCAGAAAGGTAAAATACATCTCACCCCCAGTAATAGTGGGAAAAACTCCCTTCAAGCAAGACAGAAATCTAAACATCTTAGGGAAGATTTAAATCTAAAGAAAAATTTCTGGCCGAGAAAAAATAAAAACTCCAAGAGAATTCATTAAACAACAGAACAAAACCTAATTTAGGACCCTAAAAACTCCGGCAATGCCAGTGCCGTGAAGTCTCACTGTCTGCTTCAGAATAACAGTCTCTGAAACAGCTGTTCTGCCACTTGCTGTAAAGAACTCCCAAAACTCAAATGTAGCAGGAAATTTAAAAGTTGGGTCTGGCTACAAGAAAGCCAGAATTTCATAAGTTTCATAAGTGAGCAGTAATAGATTAAAACACAGGGAGGACAGAAACAAGATGAAGCGTGTCCAGGGAATGTCACGATGAGCACAGGTTCAGCAATGCCCGGTGTCCTGCTTACATTGTTTGCGTTACTACCTTTTCCTCAGCTATCAATTTTGGGTTACATCTTCCCTAATTTAATTATGAATGTTCTTGCATATTTGGCACATCTCTCAACAGGGCTAAAGATTAATTGTTTCTGTGCAGCGTATCTATACCAATGTTGTTCAATGTATACACTGGTACAGAAATATGTTTATTAGGTAAATGAAGTATTTTCTGTGATAAAAATGTGCTATTTGAGGCCATGATTTATC